GAGAAGCAGCCAGGTGGATTCCCAAGGTGGATCCCAGGGAATGTGGGTCACAAAGCTCTTCCCGTACTTGGGGCACTCGCAGGGCTTCCCTTACCGGTGCCTCCGTTGCTGTTGGGTCAAGGCTGAGCTCTGGGAGAAGTTCTTCCCACACTGGGGACACTCTGGGGCCTCTCCCTGGTGTGGATTATTTTGTGGGGGACAAAGGTGGAGTTGTGCTTGAAGCCCTTCGGGGGCAAATTGCATCATAAAAGGGAATGACTACGAGAGACTGGGCTCACAGTAGGTCACTCCCAGTCATTCTCACTGTAGTTCCAGTCCCCCCAGTATGGTTACACACACTTCCAGTACATCCCAGGTGGAGTCAGCCTGCTCCCAGGCACTGCCAATTACCCCAGTAAGGTTCCAGTTACCTGAGAATGATCCCAGTGTTTCCCAGTTATTCCCAGTTTCCTCCAGCATGACCCCAGTTTCTGTCTGTTGCCCAAAGTTTGGTCCCAGTTTCTCCCAGTACAATCCCCATTGCCCCAGTGTTGGTCTGATTCTCCTCAGCATGGTTCCAGTACTTTCCAGCTGATGCCAGTTGCTCCCAATGTGTCCATATTTTCCTCCCAACATGGGCCCAGTAGCTCCCAGTAACCCCCAGTCAGGTTCCATTTGCATCTACTACAAACCCAGTGGTTCCCAGTGCTATCCCTGTTGGAGCCATAGTCACTCCCAGTATGGTTGCACTCACTCCCAGTTGATCCCAGTCACTCCCAGCATGATGCAAGTGGCCCCATATGTCCCTGTAGCTCTCTCTCTCAATTCCAGTATAATCCCAGTAGCCTTCAGTAGGATCCCAGTCACCTCCTGCCACTTCCAGTATGATCCCAATTGCTTCCACTCACTCCCAGTATGATCCCAGTGACTCCCAGTTCCTGCCAGTTGCTCCTAGCATGATCCCAGATGCTCACAGCTACTCCCAGTTACCCTCAGCATGATCCCAGTCACTCACAGTACATCTCATTTGCCCCCAGCCTGGTCTCAATTGCCCCTACAGCCTCATACTCACTGCCGGGATGATCCCAGGATGACCCCAGTACAAACCAGTCCCTGCCAGTGACCCCACTCCTGGGATCCCCCAGCCCTCTCTGTGTTCCTCCCTCCCACATCTCCCCAGAGGAGCCCCAAGGGCTGGCAGTCCCCAGCCAGGGTCCCCAGCCAGCCCCAGCTTGGATCTGCAGCCCCCAATTTTCCCAGTTTCCCTCTCCTTTTCCCCGG